GAGAGAGGGAGAGAGGGAGGGAGGGAGGGAGGGAGAGAGGGAGAGAGGGAGAGAGAGGGAGAGAGAGAGAAGGAAGGAGAGGATGCTTAACAAGGGCCAGCTTGTTTAACCAGTAACCGCCATCTCAAATCTCACTTCAGTTTGACGTTAAGCTCTGGGAGATTCTGGTGTGGAGTAAGGCAGGTGCAGAAGGGCAGTGCATGGAGCTGTTCTAGCCCCAGCTCTGCCAGCAACTGGCCGGGTGACCTCAGAAGGTCAGAGTGCAGATTCCAGGGATTCCAGCCAAACAGCCTCCCTCTAGTTCTGTCTTGAACTTCACAGGTATTTTAATGTCCAGGAGAAATGGAGAGTGTCAAAGCAACGTTATTTCTAAGGTTTAGCAACTGTGTTAGTTCACCAGCCAGCAGCAGAAATCAGCAATAGCCTGGTCTGGGAAATAAAATCAGCGTAACCGCACGGTATGTCTCCCGAATTTCATTAACAAGTTTTTGGTTTTTTTTTTTTTTTTTTTTTTTTTTTTTGTTTTTTTTTTTTTTTTTTTTTTTTTTGGTGCTTTTTTTGGTTTTTGTAGTTGAGCCTTGCCCAAGAAACCACCACATTAGAGTTTTCAGGTGAATGTTACAGCGATGGCAACTTTAAAAACTTGCTTTGCTGACAACCCCTGCCCATTCTTTCCCCACGGTAAGCGACTTTCATTTTAAAAATAAACCTGTTCCAGGACAGTTGACCCGGTCTGTGTCCTCTTATGCGAGTTATTTAATTTAAAAATAGAACCGTCTCAGATTGGTATCAAATACCTGTGGCCGTCTATCGTGGGGTGCTGGACAAGAAAGCAGCCCGTCTCTGGGGTTGCCTTTCCTCCTCGGTGAACTCCTAGAGCCCTGTAGATAATTTCATTGCACTTAGCTTAAAGTACTTTCATAGGTTATATTTAACTTCTCTAAGGGCCGGGCAATTTTCTAATTTGGGAGGAAAAAAAAAAAGAGAGAGATTGCCATTGGAAAGTAGTTAACGTTTTTTAGACTAAGTAATCACCTGGAGACTGTTTTTAGATCAATCAAATTACTCTTTTATTTGGAACAATTATGGTTTAAAATACGCTCGTGGGCCTTTGGGTATAGTAAAGCCCTTATTACTTCCAAGGCTGTGTGTTTCAGGAGCACAGGTGGGCAGAAAGGAGAGAGGGCAAGACCTAAGAAACTCGCCATGCGTCAAGTTTAAGATGTTTGACTTTTGCAACCTTTAACTGAAATTTGGTCTTACGGAGTGAGGATGTGTTTCACATTGTTGGGAATAAAATCATGAGAGAGTCTGTGTTGTCCAACAGCCAAGGCTGTAACTGAAGAGCTTTACAGACTTTTGGAAATTAACTATTAACAACAACAACAACAACAACAATAATAATAATAATAGTAATTTGGATTTTTTTTTTTTGAGACAGGGTTTCACTACATAGCTCTGGGTGTCCTGGAACTTGCTCTGTAGACCAGGCTGGCCTTGAACTCACAGACATCCACCTGCCTCTGCCTCCCGAGTGTTGGGATTAAAGGCATGAGGCATTCCACATGGAGATATTTTTTTTTTTCTTTTTAAAATGCTTGGCACTCATCATTTTCCAGGGAAAGGAATTATGTGATAAGTGAGCTACACTTACTATAGTAGGACTTAAGACGGTGACATTTTATTACTTCAATAATTCGACACATTTCATTCATTTCTGGGAATCGGGTGTTCTGTCAGATCTGATTATAGGCAGCCAGATTTGTGGGTTCTTCCTCATGAAAAGTGGTTCTTCCTCAGAGGGGCTCTTGTAGAGTTTTACTGTGTCATGTTACTTAAAGAGGTCCTGGGTTTTCTTTTTTTTCTTTTTTTTGTTCAGTCAACTTTAACTTGCAATAGAAGCGTTGTGTATATAAACAGATACAGTAACGTTTGTATTGCAACAGAGAAGTCTAGTCCATCAATCTCCTAAATTTTGCATCAATTTAAAAACGTTTTTATATTTTAAAAATGTTGCGATCGACTTTTTCCACCAACATAGTCTTGCATTGTGCCCTTGACCAGATACTTTTCTGTTTCTCCTATTTTGTACAGTTTAATAATGGACAATTAGTAATGTATTTACATACTCGTATATGAACCGACTAATTTTTTTAAATGTTTTAAAATTAATTTTGTAAGTTAGCATACAGAGTGATGGGCTTCATTATGATGTTGCCATATATGCGTACACCATTGTACTTTATTCTAACCACCCCCTGCCTGCCTTCTCCTACCTTCAGCCCTCTCTTGCTGGTCCCCTTCCATTCGCCAAACAATGCCCCATTCTGTTCCATTGTGTGTGAATTCCGTGGCCATCTCTTTCCCTTCTCCACATCCCTGAAGGTCCATCTCTCTCTCTCTCTCTCTCTCTCTCTCTCTCTCTCTCTCTCTCTCTCTCACTGGCTGTTTCTCTCTCTCTCTCTCTCACACACACACACACTGTCTCTCACGTACACACATGGTCTCTCTTTCTCATATATATACTGTCTCTGTCATTCATATATATATATATATATATATATATATATATATATACTCTGTCACACACATTCTCTTACATAGACAGTGTCTCTCTTGCACACATATGTGTTCTCTCTACACACACACACACACACACACACACACACACACACACACACACACACCTGGTTTCTTTATATGGGAGAATACGTGAAATTTGTCCCCGAGTGAACAGAATAAAGTTGAGGCTTATCCCCTCCCCCACCCTAGTTTAAAAATGTATATTGTGAAAGAATACTCTCATCAAGGAGAATTCTTTCAATTGGTCATTAAAGCATTTGTGTCCCTCCAGTCTGCTCAATCAAGGTAAATAAGAGAACATAGCCATTATCTTCCTTTTGCTAGGATTCCCTGATAGCGTAGCTTAGTGTGGGCAGTTTTGCAATGCTAGAATAAATGTTTTTAAAAGTCTCTTTTATGGAACCCTTCAAAAGGCAACTAATAACAGAAAATGGGACACCAGTGCCAGCCTGCAGAGAAAATAAATCCCATCCTGAGGTTTGCACTGATGCCCTACTTGGGAAAATGCTTCTGCACAAGGGACTCAAAGAATTGATGCAGCTAGGAACCTGGAGCAAAATGCCTTGTTTGTGGATTACCTTATCAGCTTCCTCAGAAGCCCTCTGCTTTCCATTTTTTTTTTTTCCCCTCATGCCCTATACTTAGAACCTACTTATAAGCAAAAGCTTTTCTTGGAAGGTGTTGAATGAAAATGTCAGAACTGGAGGCTGAAGAAAGGACTCAGCAGTTAAGAGCACGGACTGTTCTTCCAGAGGACCAGGGTTCAATTCCCAGCACCCTCCTGGTGGCTAACAACCTGTAATAACTGAAGCTCTAGGGGATCTGGCGCCCTCTTCTGGCCTCCTTATGCACTGCATGCATGTTGTACACAGACACGTTCAGGTAAACATTCATTCAAACTAACTCTCTAAACAAAATTTTTTAATGCTGAAACTCTACTATGGTAAAATGACAGGTAGGTGGTCTATATCTGTGGCCTTCCTCATGAAGAAGGGAACATTTAGATGGGATATTTAGACTTGAATCTGCCGGCATGGACAGTTCAGCTTATGGAGAATTCATCCAAAGCACTAACTTCCTATTTTCTCCCCTAGAGCATAGTACAGATAGGCCCACGTTCACCCCACTGCAGTCAGGGACTGATCAACACAGAAAGATACTACCATTCCCCAGACCGCCCTGTTCTGAAGATGAGTAAGCTTTGAATCAGTGAAGAACTTGAAGGATCCATCCTACTGTGTTATGTGTTTTTTGTTGGTGGTTTTTTTTTTTTTTTTTTTTTTTTTTTTTACCTTGTATTGCACCGTGAAAAGAATGTTCCAGAACAGCAGCTAAAACCAGGAGGGACAGGTTAGCAGCTGCTCAAAGCTGAAGGAACCCCTAGGATGTGGAGGGGGCAGGCCAACAGCCATCAGTACTCCACACCAGCTTTTGAGTAGAGCATCAATGTCTCTCTCCAGCAGGCAGCCTCACGCCGCAGCAGGGCCATTAGATTGGAGCCAGGGTGTATAGGGTCTGCATGGGTTACTGCAGTGGGTGTTTGTGACCCTGATGGCCGTGACAAAGGCCCCTCAATCTTCCCTCATCCTCACTCTTTTTTCTTTTTCTTTTTTTAATATTAAGAAAAAATTTTCATTCATTTTACATACCAATCACAGATCTTCCTCTTTCCTCCTACCGCCCCTCCGGCCTCCCCTCCCCCAACCCAGCCCCCCATTCCCTCCTACAAGAAAGTAAGGCCTCCCTCCCATGGAGAGTCAGCAGAGCCGGGTACATTCAGTAGAGGCAGGCCCAAGCCCCTCCCCTGCCTCCAGGCTGTGTGAGGTGTCCCACCATGGGTAGCGGGCTCCCAAAAGGCTGCTCATGCGCCAGGGAGAAAAAGTCATGCTCACTCTTTTTTAGGGGGCTGGTGTTTGAGGAGTCAAGGTTGTTAAATAGAGATACAGCCCTGCTTGAAATAATAGGTGAGAAAGGATCATTTCAGCACAAAGAGGTGAACTTCTTGGTTTGGTATTTTAGCATCACTTCTGTAGTATTGCATAGTTCCGTGTGTCTAACTGAAAATTAGCCTTCTGAGTCTCCTTTATTCCCAAGTCTGTGCTCACACTGTTAAAATCCACTCCTCCAAGCCGCTCTCCTCTCTCCCTCTCAACTTGTCCCTTTCTTCCCACCTCATACTTGTCTCCACTGTCTGCTCAAGGGATCTGCTTCCATCTCTGCGGTGGCTCAGTAGCACCCAGAACCTTAGTCTTCCCCCAAAAGAATGTATCAGGCACACTTGGAAAGATGCCGAAGTGACCACACCCTATAGTCACTCTGCCGTGTTCATAGAGGTGGGATGTCTCAGGGACTTTCCAACTAGCTGTGAAGTCTACCGGGAAAACCTCTCAAAACCTTGGCGGCCACAGAGCAGGATCGTGAGCCTGGTGTGTGCTCCGGGGCAGCTGTGGAGTCTGTAACGTGGCCGGAGCCCTGCATTGCCCTGAGGACTGTCCAAGGGGCACAGGGTGTTTCTGTCACAGAGAGAGCCGGTAGCTGAGTCCTTAGGATTTCTTGACTAACCTGGAGGGCTTATTTTCTGTGGATTGGTTTGCAGTATTCACAGAAGGACACCAAAGTTTGGAATGTGGTAATGGCAATTTAGGAATGGGGCTTTAGATAGGCAATTTGTGAATTTTTTTTTTTTTTTTTTTTTGGCTAATGACATTTAAATAAAAAGTAAAAAACAAAAACTCATCATGGTAAGAACCCAGCTTGTTCTTCTCCTATAGTAACAGGTCTCTTTATTGTTTGTATTGGAGTATGTGTGTGTGTGTGTGTGTGTGTGTGTGTTTTCACAAACCGGTAACCTGATCTCTTGTCGCCACCCCCACACTTGCTGCCTCCTGGGTATGCCCAATGCTTTCCACACATGTGTCCTCTGGAGGCTTGATCTCAGAGAGCATTTACATTCGGCTTGCCTTCCCAGCCTGCAAACTGCAGTGAGCCAGCCCCTGGGAAAGCTTCAGGGACTCGTCAGCAGTCTAGCTTATTCCTGTGTGTGTGTGTGTGTGTGTGTGTGTAGCGCACACGCGCGTATGCCTCCCTCTTCCTCTCTCTCTCACCATTTCCAAGCTAGAATCACCGTGGAGAAGCAAGCCCTGAATTCCTGTCAAGATTTTATCTCAGAATAACGACTAGCTAAGAGGGGGAAAAAAGAAAAAGAAAAAGAAAAACAATGAAGGGCTGAAATATTGATTTTTCTTCAGAGGAATAACCAGGGCTTTGCTGTAGAGAACACCCCGTTTCTTCCCGAGGCAAGCTGAGCAGCTCCGAGTTGCCTGTGACAGCAGCCAGGGCTGGCTTGAAGCAGCCGCTCGCTCTGCCCGGGGGAGCTCCCTAAATGGACTTTGGTCTCAATGCTGTGACTCTTTGTCGTGGGTTTGGATGTGGGAACACGGAAGGTGATCTCCGCTTTCGTCTTAACTCACCTGCTCTAAGGAAAGATGAGTGAGGAGCCGAAGGAGAAAACCACCAAGCCTGCTCATCGGAAGAGGAAAGGGAAAAAGGTAAGAGGCAGAATCAACATGTTCCCTCATTGTTCTCGGGCTCCGGGAGGAAGTCATCGGGAGTCTGCCTTTCTGAGAGATTGGCTTGAGACGGCAAAGAAGCTGCTAGAAGCAGAATGCTTTGTTTTTCCTCCTCTCTTAATGGGTGTGTTCTGGGTCGGAGACAAACATCACGACTGGGGGCCATTGCTACAGTATTTAAATACAACAGTTAAAACATGGTGATTTAGATTTGCCAAGCTAGTGTTCTTTTTCATAGCGATAATAGGAACACTAAGTAAACATGTGTCCTAATTATGTGAGTGGGTGTGTTTCCCCTACCCCTGAAATTTCCCTGATGCTTGCTAATCAGTAGGGTATGATTACTAATGAATATTATTATGGCATGGATATTCAGCTTTAATGCATATTTCAGGCAAACTCGGGGAAACCTGTAGTTAGACCTTAAGATCACAGCATGGAGGTGAACTCCATTTTAATTATTGATTCATTTTTATGGCTGACAAATCTTAGGTCTGTATTCAGCTCTGCTGCCGGACAGCCATATGCCTCAAGGATCCATTCGGTTCATAACATGAATTTTGCTTTCCACATGAATTGTCAAAAGAGCAAGGGATGATTGCAGCAAACCTGTAGATTCATTCTGGCTTTCCCGAATGCGCGTGTCATCTTAAGATATGCCCTGAACTTTTCAGTACGTTTTGAAATGGGGAAGAACGGTAATTCTTGGGTCTGGACTGTGATTTTTGACCCACTGCGGTTCATAAACTGTCTCAGATTTAGGGTGTGCCACCAAAGGAGAGGCTAGATACATCTGTAACAAAGGAAAACAGGTCCCTGAAACTGGATTGTGGGTCATGGTTGTTTCAGAAAAATGGGTGCTGCCTTTTTGAATCTTCAATTTCCAATTCTTAGATTTGTCTGTTTTAATTCCCAGGACTGGTGTGTCTGGTGATGTCTCTTTAAAATGATTCCTTGCCTCAACGTGATGTATGCTCTGGCAGGGGACGCCCAGGGAATGATTGGGTACAGTAGAGAAGATGAACGATTGCAACTAGTGCTTGAATATATCAGGCATTTAGAAAATGTTCATGGTCCACTTGTGATCTATGAAGAAGGCTCATTTGAATTAGATGTACTTTAAAAGAGCTGCTATCAGCAGGCTCAGCTGA